CGTGTGTCCTGACACTCGCCCACTTGTAACCTACAGCCCTACCAACCCCTCATGTTTTTCACCTTTGCATAAAAGCCCAGCTGGACTCTGGGCTAGTCTTTGAAATAAGCAGTAATCTTATTACCTTTATCAATTCAATCCTCTTAAGGTTAAGTCAATCCTATTAATCAGGCTTGTGATGTGGAGAACCTTATTATTTCAAAGTCAATCTGCCCATCAGTCAGTTATGATATTGGGAGCAATCAGCTCCAGCCCAGAGGGGTGCGTGACCCAAGCGGCATGTGTGGGGCTGTGGGTCTCATCAGCTCCGTGACAGCCCACATGCTCCAGCTGCTGCCACATCCCTGAGAGGCCGGGGCTGGAGGACCTGCCCCAGGATGGCGAGGTGCAAAATCCTTCCTGGGGGTGGGCAGGGTACATCCTGCAAGACTTGTGTGGCTCGTTGGCTCCCTTTGCCTGGGAAACCCTCCTGCTCCCACCGCAGCCATGCCAGGCACCCGGCTGGCTCCATCTTTCTGCCTCCTGGAGCTGGACGGGGCAGGCGTTGCCCAGTGACACCCGCAGGCACAGGGACTGGCACCTTGAACCCCTTCGGGACTGGGGTAGTTGATGGAGGCAGACCCCTCGCCAGGGCAGGGTGGCCTTTCTCGGCACTCACCAGTTTGAAGCGCTGTGGGGTGCTCGGGGCCCCCAGCGCAGGGGGGTGTGCGGGGCTGAGGGGTGCTGGTGCTCTGGGCAGGCAGGGCTGTCAGCTATTGATCGGATCTGTGACTGAATTAGCTGTCTTCTCTGCTCCAGCTTTGTCCCCTGTGAAGAAGCTTTTTCTTCCCATTTTTTGTGTTTGAGCAATGCAATTAGTCCACTCCCTGTCGACGTGGGCAGTGCAGGATTGTTTTCTTGAGCAGGTGTTGGGTTTTCTCTTGATGCACTTCACTTTTCAGTAAACCTTTTCCAGTTGGGGCCACCCCCAGGGCAGCTGGGCTCTGGGCTGGCGCTGGTGTGGCTGCC